CATTAGCACCTCTAGTAATACATTTACTGAGAAAAATGTTGACGTGTTCAATACTTATTTTACCCGTTGTATATACTGTAGACCACAGATGAATGATTTAAAGGTTTCAGAGAAGGATTTAAAAGCATGATATGTCGCCCTTAAGTTATTTAAAAGCCACAAAYCGAACGCAAACAGATGCAAAGAAACAAAATGCAGGGCGGAAAGTTCAAACTCAAAAGGAAAGAATGCAAGAACAAAACCCAAAACAACTTCAGGCACAAAAGACCTATAAAGAGATCCACAATAAGCATAAAATACAAAACAACCAAACAGYGCCACAAAATGACCAAATGGGAATGCAAATATACTGCGAAGAATAAAAACAGATCTATAAAACAAAAAATTTAAAAACACAGGGAATCTTCTTGAATCAGTTTGGTTCTTTGTTTTTTGCATAACCAAGGCTGGTTAGCTCCTACATTAGTAACTTTAATGCTTGTGGAGTGATAAATACAAYTTTAATGGTGATATTGTCTCGTGTCAGCTTTAAAAAGCTTGTATAGACATTATTGCAGTGAGAACTGTTGCTCTCAAACATCATTGCTGATACTAGGTGAATGATATAAATGGAATTTTAAAAACAATGAAATATCTATTTGGTCCAACTGCTCTGAYGTTTTATTGCAGTCTTTGTGTTCATTTAAGCAAGCTTACAAGGTTTCCTCTTATTGCAGCTCTAGCCACATTTTTTCCCCCTTGGAAACAAAATTTACAGGACTGTGTTCACAATGCCGCTGTCTTTTTACTACTTTAATGTGTTCCTGGCGTGGCGTGCGGTTTGTTAGAAGGACCAATGTGAAGGGATTAAAAGCTGTAATGCAATTGCCAGAATGAGAAGAGACAGACAATGAGCCGGTCCATTGGGAAAGCTCATCATTGAAAGCTTGTGTGTAATCCTGCCCAGAGGAGAGAGGCATGTGGTGTTTAGTTAAGTCTATGAGCGGCTTCAACATCCACGCTCAGACAGGAGCACGTCTTTCACCTTCACACGCCTGCTAATATGTTCCACATGTTTACAAGTTTGCTTAAACAAATCATCACTTTGGAGGAGTTTTGAGCTCGTTTCTGCACCTTACCTGACAATCTTCATCTAACAGCATCCCAAAATGATTAAAGGCTCTTTTTTTAGAGAAGCTGRGAACTGGATGCTTGACTTTCTCCAGGTGACTCAAAAGCAAATGTGGAAAATAAAAACAGCATCTCTGATCCCTTGTTTTATTTTCCCTGTTTTTTTTTTACAAGCTTTTGTTATATTGCAGGGCTGCTTCGAGAAAGTGGAAGAATGGCTGGATGATAACAAGCATCTGCTGGGAACTATAGGCATGGTCATCTTGGTAGTGCAGGTAGGAGTGAAAAATAGTTACCTTCTTCTCTATTTTTCCCACTCATTATGTTCTTTTTGCTTTGTGACCATCTGTCTGGCTACATATAAAAAAAGAAGAAGAAAAAAAGGCAAAGTGTTTATTCAGTGGCCTCTGTGCCATCCTGTTCAATGGAGAACGTTATAAGAGTTGTGCTCAGTGGGRGTTCTGGACACCCACACATCTTGAATTATTGAAATTCTGCACCCTGTCCCTGTCTGGAAGATTCAAAGCCARGTGGCTTTGTGCCAACTAGGCTGTAGTCAGGTGCAAGGAGCTATTAGAAGATAGGAGAGTCAGGATGCTGAATATAGAGAAGCAGGTAGAGTCTCAGACTAAAGCCTTGAGGGGTGATAGATATTCCTCAGATGGTGCTGTTTCTCTTTTAGTCCTGAGCTCTGATTTACATTCGCCCCTCTCAAGTAGAATTTACACACTTTGACCTGGTGTTCTAAAATATCCTCAATTAAACAAAGGCAGGGGTTTTATGTTCATGCACAACCTGTTTTATCTAACTGTGTTTCTTTTAATAGCTAAGGGTTAACCCTGTAACCATCAATGTACTGCAAATGGTGTATTTCCAGTTTCTGGTTACTTCATGCCRCTTTATAGCCTGACCCACACTACTAGGGACTTTTAATTTGCATAATAGTCTGTTGAAATGATTCGATTGGTTGTCTTCTTTTGATTGACACTTATTTTGACCAATTGGGTTTGTCTATAGAATCTCCAAAGCACAAAATGTGCAGCAACCCCCTCATCCAAACAGTACACAGGATTGATWGACTAGAATCGGCCAATCAGCTCTGAGCTTTATTCTTATATAGAGCTGTGTAGCCAATCAAGTTACCTTTTATTCTTTATGCAACTTTGAAAATTAAAAACATAATAGTAACGGTTAGAATGTCCTTTAAATTCAGTAACTAAATACTAGTTACAGTTACAAAAATGATGACTTCTGAAGTTTAAAGTTCAGATTGACAGCTTTATATTGAGACTAGGCTTGTGAATTTACTTCAAAGGGTTCAAGAGCAGTAATTTATTTATTTTGGGTTAGGGTTAGGCCCACAGGTTAATGTTCAAAATGTATTTATCACCTGCAAAGACAACTTTTTTATCATTTTTTATTTACTTATTGTTTTTAGATATATATATATTGCTTGCTCATGTCTGGGTGTATTTTCATTTGTTTCTATCATTAGCAAAATCCCTCATTAACCTGATTGACTGAAACTCTCAAAATGTCCAAAAACCATTCATTAGCTGTTCATCTGCAGGAGATTAAATGTTGGAGTGCATTTTGTCAAGGATTATGAGGCCTTTAAAATTGTCTGTTTTTTTTAAGAATAAATATTGCCTTTTTTCAAGGTCTTCTTCACGTTTTTCCAATTTTTCCTAAATTCTGCTGCTTGATGGTGACGGAGACTAAAAGGCATGATTGCATCAATCCTTGCTCGCCTTCCCTTGTTTTCTTTTAGATTCCGTATTGATTTAAAACTCTTTCTGTTCACCTTTAAATCTTTAAATGGCCTTCCACCTGAACACATCTCAGACCTTTTGAGCTCGATCGTGCCCTCGTGTCTTTTTGAGAGCCGCAGATAAAATCCTGCTTTTTGTGCCCAGATAGGTGTTTGTGATGAAGTGTGTAAGGAGGATTTCACTGCTCTTTTTTTGTTTTTTTTAATACAGAAATGACCATAAAAGTCGAGATGCTGGGTGTTGCAGCATAAAGTCTCTGCTGAACAAAGACGGTCCTGATCAGATGACTTTATTGTTGTTTGTAGATCCTCTTTCCTCATTATCAAGTTTGGACAAGACAGTAAAATAAATGATCCTACTTATTCTTCTTCAGTGTGAGGAAAAAGGCTGCACCCGCACACAAATGTGTGCAGAATGTTGATTTCAGTGAAATTTTTGAGAATCTTTCTGAATCATCGTTCCTTTTCCTTTCAGCTAGATTTGAGTTTTATATATTTAAAATACAAACACAAAAAAACAAGTTTGTCCCTGCAGTCGTCTGACATTTTAATTGGCTCAGTGTGACTTTTAATATGAATTAATACATTGTTTTGTCATTTGAGCTAATGTTTGTTGACACTGAAGGCTTGTTTGCATTTTATAGCAGGACAAAAACTCACCCCTCAGAAACCATAAAGAATTAATGAACTTTGTGTCGAGCTTTTCTACTAAACTCAGCCTCGCAACCTTTAATTATTTTCCTCTTTAGTCAAATTTCATAGTCAATCAAAGACTAATTATTTCTGCAGCTGAAGTAGGTTCACAACATGTCACAGAAAGACTTAATAAATAGTGAATAAAAACTTGTTTAAAGTGGAGAGTTGGAGTTTCTGAATGACACAAGGCCATCTAGTAAAATATGCATTCAAGCATTAAAACGTTTTAATAGAACGAATTTACCTTGAAGCAACTTTTTATTTGTTCTGGTTTTAGTTAATTTTGATAATTCCTTCTTTATTCAAAATTAAATCCATGGTTTTGCCATGTGACAAAATGGATGAGAGGCAAAACAAAGTGAACTACATAAGCCATAAAAAGAGATTTAAAAAACAAATGGTAATAATTTWCTTCCCTTTTGCAAAATACAGCGTTTATTTTCAGTTTTTGTACGGTCCTATTTAAAATTTGACAGGGCCGCATATTTTCATTGTRTTTTTTTCTAGTAAATGTTGGATTCCTCATCTTTGCAAACATTCAYACTCCTGGTAAACAGACTTTGATTGACAGCTAAAGTGTGTTCCTTGTTGCAAAATGATCGGTTTTCTGGAGTTGATTGAACCAAAACTGTTAATCTGGACTGGCTCAGTAAGCTTGGAATATTGTGTCTGCTTTATGACGTGTTAGTTTCTGAAGAAAAAGGAGAGAGAGAAAAAAAGAGAGAATCMAGTTGCAAAATATTTACTTCATTCCAGCATTTCCACAAAGGAATAATTTGCTCAAARTGGTCATCGCCGAGGTCGTTCTGASTCGTTCCATCACTGTGACGGACTGAGAGTCTGGATGAAGTTCTTTTTGCACCTCCTTGAGTGAAAGTTTTCGCACTCAATTTACTTAAAGTCACAACTCTGCCCATGCCAGTTCTATTCCTGGGTCAGCTTCCACAACAAGTGTATGAGCGTTTTGGCAGTCCTTTTAATCTCTTCCACCTACATTTCTGACGTTACCTCATCTTCTATCCCTTTGTTACTCCTCCAACGCCAGGGGCTGTTGTCATCGTAATTACATCCACAGATATTTTACTCATATTTACTTTTTATTTGCACATTTATGTTTGTATCTCTTATATTACAGCTCAGTCTGTTTAATATTCCTTGCAGCCACTTTTCCTGTTTTATTTTATTTGATGTTTTATTTTATTTCCTCTGCATTTTCTGAAACATCTGCAGCTGTTCTCGTGGCAAGTCGAACTTTTACTCTGCTATTCCTGGAATCTATGGTTCATTCAGACCAAGACGGTCTCACAAAACAAGCTTTAGTGGCTTTTTTTTTTTTACATAAAAAAGATTCTAAGCTTGAATTTAAAGGGATCCCCGATTAGTTGTAACATTAGACTTTATTTAATAAACATATATTTTAACTTTAAAATAAAGACTGTAAAAATACTGTTGGATGTTCAGTTTTTATCATTTTTAAACTAAAAGTTTAAAATATATTACACGGAAGGGGCCATTTTATTTACACACAAAGCATTCTGGGTAAATGATGACGTGGATAGGTCATCGGTGTGAGGCTGCTAGCGAGCTATATCCACCCTGAAGGTTAATCTTGGACAATATCTGATGATCGACTCTTTTAAATGAAACCAGAGAGCGTTGACAGAGAGGAGAAGTAGAAATGACTCAGCCTGGAACTGAAAATATGGATGGAGGACAACAGATTAGCTTGTTTGTTGCTCTAGCACCGAGCAAATACATATAAGGTAATATAGCATCAGCGCTAGCGCAAAGGCTAACAGGCTAAGCTGAGGTTCTTCTTCCATGAAGCAGCTCTGTTGTCCTCCATCCATATCTTCAGTTACAGCTGAGTCATTTCTACCTTCTCCTCTCTGTCAACGCTCTCTGGTTTCATTTAAAAAAGTCGATCATCAGATATTGTCCAAGATTAACCTTCAGGGTGGATATAGCTCACTCACACTGAGAACCTATCCACGTCATCGTTTACCCAGAATGCTTTGCTTGTAAATAAAATGGCTCTGTCCGTGTTAAAATATATTTTTACAAATTTACAAAACTAAACAGCCTACAGTATTTTTAGTCTTTATTTTACAGTTAAAATATATGTTTCTCAAAAAAGTCTTATGTTACAACTAATCGGGGATCCCTTTAAACAGGATTAAAAATCAGAAACTCTATTGCAAACAGTTCACATGCAGAAAAATCAAATTKAATTGTTTTAAATTCACTCGGTATGGTTCTTTTTATTAGTCTTAGGTTGACTGTCCTTTGCTTATGCTAGCACCTATTAATGAAATAATATTATCTGTTATATGGCTGTGCTCATAATGGGACATTTGTATATAAAATAAAGAAAAAAGGGCATTCCCATGGAAAATTAAAGATAGAAAAGCACTGACTTTCATCCTTCAAGACTTGCCAGATAAAACAAACAAGACTATTATAATCTGAAATTAGYTTTGTGGATCGCTGTTCTGATCCAGTTTAAAGTTTCATACAAGTAAAGTACWGAGCAGAAGCTATGAAATTGTAGTCGGGCTAAATTCTTCCCATCACGCAGGTGATCCAGGGTTGTTGGGCCTGTGTTATCCTGTGCACCCTCCTGCTTTGTAAGCTTATTGAAGCACATCCAGTTTTATCTACAATTCAACCACAATCCMCTTTAAGCTTCTCAGATGCATCCAGAGCTGGAGAATAAAGTCCCCCAGGCCTATAATCATCAGATAATCACGATGCTTTAAACTGCAGCTCTGCACCACATGTGGAACCCTGTGGAGCTGAAGAAGCRTCATGAAGACACAGAGCTACTAAGTCAGCTAATTGTTCTGCATAGTCCCCTATGAAGTTCGCCATCAAAATCCTCTGGGGTTTGACTTTCTTTTCCAAACTCCTCTCACCCTCTTCAACATACAGGAAGTTCCTTTGCGTTGTTCAAAGGCGTTAAAAACAACCATTTTAAAAAAATGTAGCCCAAAGTCTTGCTAGTAAACTCACGTGGTGGTGCATAAATTAAACMTTACCCTGTTCAAACTCTTCTGGAAGAAAAAAAAACATCATTGCGGCAACAAACCAGGATGTCCAAACATCAGCTGATTGTCTCTAAATCGTTGTTCAATATACTTTCATTTAGTTCATTCAAATCCTGCACAACTGCAACAATCCTAGCCATGTTAAAAGACAAATTAACACTTTACAGACTAGTAAAAAAAGAGGTAGATTTTTCTCTCTTTGCGACAGGTTTGTAAACCGGAACCATCACTGCGGCAGAGATTTGTGAGCCTCCTTACCTGATCTGATTGATGGCACCCATAAAATCAGGCGCTTCCAGTCAGATCCGCCGTGTGCTGCTCTCACGTTCAGGTACTTCATATAGATGTGCAGCAAACATCTGGGAAAAGCGCCTCGGGGAATGTAAGGATCATAGAGAAACAAATGAGAGCGGGCAGTGTTTCCTTGACAACAAATCTCCTCTTGCCAGATCATTCTGGACCACTTAAACAAAAATATATTTATAATTTCCATCTGCTGAAAGTTGGATTTGACTGAGCGGCTCTGTTGTTGGACCTTTCTGCCCCTGACTGTGCATACATTGAATAATTAAAGCACATAAAGCTGCAGAAAAAGAAAACCTCGCCAAGGAAGTAGAGCAGAGCAGGTGTCGGGGACAACAGATATGACATTAAATTAAACGCTACATGGAAACAAAAAGCTGAGAGGGAAGGTTTTAACAATAGATTTTATTTTCCTAATTAAACATAATTTTCCACGAAGGGTGTCCTCCTCCTTGAAGCATGTTTAAGATAGGAAAAGACAAATAGCAATGAAGAGGAAAAGAAATTTCAATTTTTTTCTGTATTACATCAGAGTGGTGATGAAGGCACTGTACTATTGGCGAGGCTGACTGAAGCAGGGGGAATTTATTGCCGGCCTTGTCTTTTATGCCTCTCTACTTTTCTACCTAATAGGCTTAAATTAAAGGGGGGTTATTATGCAAAATCGGCCTTTTTGAACTTTATATCACTTTATAATGCCATTCCTTCATCAAAAACAAACCCAGAGTGTTGCTTTGACTCATTCATGCATGTTTGAGAAATCCATGAATCTCCTGTGGTAACTATGTGGCGCCACCTAAATGTTTACTGGTACAAAGCTCCGCCTACTTACACAAAACTCCTCCCTGGAACTCAGTCCACAGCCAAGTGTTTTTTTTTAATATAAAGTT